CCCGTGCGACCCTAAAAGTCCTTGATATATCAGACAAAAGGGCCTCGCCGGGCTGATTTCTCCCCAACAAAGAACTTGTAAACAACAACTCCCGCAAGCTCCAAGGAGCTAGCTTTCGTGATTTCCCTCAGGATCCTGCGCTTCAACTGAGCTGCAAGCAGCTCCGCGTCAACATCTAGCTGAAACTTGCAAAGCAACCGCTGGCTTAGCTTTGGGCTTCTGCCTTGGAGTGCCCAGACGGAGCTAGCTGGGACTTTGATAATGCGGCCAACGCTGAGGAGACTGTTGCGACGGCTTGCTCGGTGTCTGAAACTCTGACTCTACCAGGCTGAGCTTCCTCCTCTCCGTTTCTTGTGGGCCCGTCCAGGAATAACACAGACTTGGGACCCCGGTTCTTACCAGTATGTCCCCATGCATGGGGCGTCGTTGCTCGGCCTTTGTCATCTGGCAAGATGCTGAGTTGCAAACGGATCTGATTGATAGCTTGCAGAGCTGCGAGGGAGCTTTCAGCAAGTCGTCGCCATGAATTCTGCGAGGGCAGCCTGCGATGCTGGATGATAGCAGATGCGCCATCGGAAGTGGAGTTTGCTGTCGCAACATTGTGCAGCTCAGCGCCTGCACTCTGTCAAAGCTGCTCCCAAACTCTCCTCCGATGCGTCGCTGGAGTTTATCCTCGGTGCGTGATGAGTCGACAAGAACCGTGCAAGATTCTGAGACTCCAGCTCTTCTTGAAGTTGTTGTTCCTCCTCGCAGTTAAAGCAGTTGAGAGAAATTTGAACCATCCTCCTGTCGTTTCCTACAGATGTCCAAACATAAAGCGAAGGACGCAACTGCTGCACATCTCTTCCCAACATCTCCAACATTCCGGACGATTCTTGTTAGTTGTCTCTGACAGCGACAGTGCAGGGACCCTTACATGTTCTGGCGAGGGCCCTACCTCACCTGAAGCCGCAGGCCAAACTGACGTCAAACCGAACTGACTAAGAGCACAGCTTCGGAGGTTCAAGGAGGCACAAGGCTGTACCCTGGCTGTACCTGTTTGGGAAGGATGGACGGAGCTTTCGTCAGGGGCACAGCCTGAAAAGCAATGAGGGGCCGCAGCACATGCAACTGCCCCTTCACCCCTAGGAAAAGACCCTGAACAGTCTAGACAGCAGAATCACTCGCGCAGATGCAATGTGCAGTCGCAGCCAGGGTCCTCTGCGAGCGACAAGTAGAGATCTTGCCTGAACTTCTGGACCTCTTCCGCGGGCCTTCGTGAACAAAGCATGCAAATACCGCGATTAAGTGGGGAAATCCGCTTCTTGTAGCTTCTTCGAACCGCAAACTTCTCTCTGAGCACGATGCAGTTGCCCACAACGAGCTTCCAATGTCTCGAATGCGGCGACATCCAGTTCTGCTACCTCTGCCATGCAAAGTAGAACAAGCTGAGGGTTGCAACGCTCGATTAGTGAGTCGTTCTGAGGGGTGCTCTGCAGCTGTAAAGCTTCTCTGGAGGTCAGACCTGCGCGGACAGCAACTTGCAAGCACGGGTCCAAAGACGAATCAGACTCGGGCAAGCAGTTCAGCTACGAACTCTGGGCTTATGCTACGCTGCAAGATACAGTATTCTACTCCTCAGCTTCTTTACTTTGAAGTTGGATGCAAGATTGAAGTGCAGGTGCGGTAGAGGCGGTAATTCGGGACGCGCCCTTGAATCGAAGCTCTCTAGTGGCCAAACCTCATACGCTGCAAAATTGTAAGCCCAGCATGAAGGTCGTGCTGCATATCGGATGCTTTGCATAAGCCGTAAGAGTGAAGCGCGATTGTCCGCTCGATAGTGCTGGCTCACTCGTAAACATAAGCAGCCTCCCATATCGAGTCCAGCTCTCTACGACTGGGAATGAGCTAACCTCCCAAACATCACGTCGGGAATCCAAGGCAGGGAGTCCGACAGAAATCCGCCCCCCCCCCCCCTNNCCCCCCCCCCCCCCCCCCGACATCCTGGCCCATCCTGTCTTCTTAGTTGCCCATCGACAACGCGAAGCATGTAGACTTTCTCCCAGCTACGGAAACACCGACAAGTTTAGCTGAACCCCTGGCTTGTCGAGATATGATGGCACTGTGGTAACTTGGGACAGTAGATTTCGAGTATTGTCATGAAGCTTTGGTGACGCTAACTTCAAGGAGGTCACCAGACAAGCACATTTGTATGTGAGGCTTGCCCATCGAATTCTTTCTTGGTTGGTCATCGGACACACATTGCTGAGCTCTTGTTGCAGAGCTTGAAAGGTACCCGAAGGGCGGAGATGCGAATCTGGCATAATTGCTCGCTCGACTCACGGATACTCACGGTGTCTGAGACGGGACGTTCGCAGCACAACAGCCCCCGACCGTTGGAAGATGCCCCTACTGTGTCAAGGCATGAGAGCACATGAAATCCAAAATTCGAGAAGAGCTTTCTATGCGATGTGTTGGCACGTGTCTCGCTACGAATATCACTGCAAAGACGGGTTCATTCCAAAGCCCCACATGCACGGTGGCTGCTCAGTATACAGGTCGTTCCTGGAGTTGATAATTGGTTTCGGGAAGCGTTGGTGGCTGGTGGGACGACCGCCAGCTTCCCCTAGATCATGGTGATGATCTCGGCAGCTCCAACAGGCAGTAGTGGGACAGGAGTCAGAGAAGGAGGAGTGATTACAGTTCTCTTGACAAGAAACAGGACCGCAGGGTGACTCGTGAGGATCAACTTCTCGATCCAAGGAACAGCAAACCCTCTGCCAATGTCGCATCGCAAGTTGTCCTCTATGGCTCACAGAAATACAAAGACCTCGTATTACATTCTTCGCCGGCTAGCAGCTACGCCCTCCAATAGCTGAACCCTCAACTGCAGCTATGTCAGTGCTGCAAGTAGGTGCGCTTAGCCCGCCTCATGCTTCTCAGCTGCTCGCAGCGGCTTTTTGCGGTGTCCAAGCCAGAGATGTCTGCGAAAGCACAGTTCCATTCCATCAGTTCTCCAGTGTCTGCACACTTTGCGCTAAGCTCACGGCCGAGTTTCTCAGCTGCTCGGAGTAGAGTCTCGAGCACGGTTTCGCTGTCGCCTGCGAAGACGTGTCAGGACAGTCTTGCAGTCCTGCTTGGAGATTCGCTGCTTGCACACATGCACAAACCGCTGGTTAGCTCATTTCTTCGACCCATCCACTGGTTCGACCCATCACTCGTTGAGGGCTTCGACGTGGTTCGAGAACGGGACGAAACTTGCCGTAGCGCCGGAAGGCCGCCGGAAGGCCAGGCCACATGACAAAAAAACACATCAAGTGTGCTCTGCTTGGAATAAGCACGTTCCGCTGCGCAACGATGTTCCGCGCTGCTTGCACTGCGAACCCTGAGGAGAGCCCATATCATGACACTTCCGCCAAGCTACCAATCATGGCTCATCATCGATTCCAGCTCTCGAATCTGTCTGACATCTCTCCAAGTTTGGCTTCTGATCCATTTTACTGTCCACTGGCACTTGCTGTCACGTCAGAACAGCGTAGCTCGAGCTGTCGAAAGTTAAGTTCCGTTCATGGATGATTTGCAAACTTTCACTGAATCTTGGGTGTTGACTTGCTTCATGTGACATCGTTCGGGAATTTGCTGTCCACAGCCTCTTTGTGAGGGTCCGGGGTTCTTGCACAACCGTCTTCAAGCGGCCTTTGAGTTCGGGCTGTGGGCTTCCCGTTGCAGGGCGCAGTCCGAGAGTGTGCAAACTCCTAGGACCTGGAGTCCTGGAGGCCCAGGTACTCCCCTTCATCCTGGAAGGCAAGGCTGCTGGAAATGCTGGAAATGTCGTTGAGAGCTGTGCTGCTGCATGAGCCGACGGGCTTTTGATGGGAACACAAATTTGGACGGGTAGAAGTCTGCACCTCAACCGCTCGAAGAAGTCACCCGGCCCGCCTTTGATGGCCTCGCGCAGTTGATCGGCCAGCTGCATCAAAGAGTGCGCCTCTTGCAGCTGCTCTTGTAGCCTGGACAACCCAGACCGGCGCCGGAGCGATGGCAACAAGAAGCCCCTCGACCTAGTCGTGACGAAAACCCTCAATAAAACGCGAGTGTGCGAGATGGCTGTCCGCGTGGATGAAGTCCAACTAGACAGCCGGGTTCTTTTGCTGCGATTGGTGTGTCGGCATGAAAGCTCAGATCAACCTCGCCTTTGCCGCGCGCTGTCGGTGGCCTGATCTGCCGCAGCCTGGTGGCGTGTTGCAATTGTTGTAAGTCCTGACGAAGTTGGATACGGATTTGCATGGCCACGCCCACACACCACATCATACCACCGAAGGTATCAAACCTGAAGATCTCAATCAACATTACTTGAGGCTCAAAACTGTATAAGTTTGGAATTCAGCTCCAGGGCTTTTGAGCTGTCGTGGTACCGAAAGAGGGGCAATCATGAAGTTAACAGAAAGCAACAGAATGTTGCATTTGTCAAAGATTGGCTTTCCTCGAAGATACTAGAAGCCCGCATGCGCAGCAGGATGTAGCAGAGAAACAACCAATCAAGGCTACAGTTAGAGACTGGACTTACAACCCGTGAAATTTCTCTGAAAAGTTGTGGTGAAACGTTCCACATATTAAGAACAGGCATAAGAAGTGAGAAACGATGAAGATAACAACGTCTTGCAGACTTCACCAACGCTCGAGTTGACTTTAACACATCACTAGCAGTTCTCACATCTGCTTAATTATTTGCGAATTACAGCCTGAACCCCCAACACAAATTCTATAATACCAGAAGCACACTACCCCACTCTGGCATGGGGTCGAGCGGCACATCGAGCATCACACAAACGAACGAGAGTGAGAGTCCCGACCCGCGACCCCAACCACCGACACCTCCCAGCGAAGTCGTCAGTAGTGAAATGCTCGATCGAGCAGTCGGTGCTGCAACCTTCACGGGAGGACCAACCGCCGAAGTCTCGAACGAGTTTCCTGACCCTGAAGACCCGAGCACCTCCCTTTTCATCACAAAGGGTGGGCTGGGTGGGACAAAACAGATCCTTCCCGGACGTTCGAGGCGATCGCCTCGACCGAACATGGCCATGGGAAGATCTTACATTCAACAAATCCTGAACAGGCCGCAGATCACATACAGTAGTGTGACCCTCCTATCCCAGACCAACCTAACCGATGATAGGAGAACACAATACCCGCATGTACCTTTGAAAGAACTCACTGATCAGCAGCCAAAGGCAAATTACTGGCATGGAGTACATTTAGAGCACTCTGGCATGGGGTCGAGCGGCACATCGAGCATAACACAAACGAACGAGAGTGAGAGCCGCGACCCGCGACCCCAACCACGGGAGGAAGAGGGACAGGTGAAAACCGAGGTGGCATCACTTGATCCCTTTCAGTGAGAACGCAGATCGAACTGGAGGAGTTCGTCATGATCTCTCTCACCAGCCAGGCCTAGAAAACCGAGACAATGCGATCGTCTCTGGTATCCACCATGATGATGGATGTCTTCCGATCGTTGTCCTCTCACTCGGCGATCGACTCCAGCAAGTGAGAGAGGCGAACTTCCTAGGGGTCGTTGCGACGGCGACCGCCACCATATCCACCTCCATATCCAGCGCCCTGGCTACGATCTCCCAGCAGTCCGGACCCCAACCAGCCATTGCACAGATCCCAGGCCCTAGAGCTTTCAATCCTTCCCGGACGTTCGAGGCGATCGCCTCGACCGCTGCAGATCACATGCGGTAGTGTGACCCCCAGAACAACCTAACCGACGATAGGAGAACCTCCGCGAGTGTTTTGAATTGTGCCACCTAGATAGGTTGGCCGGATTTGCGTTCAGCATGTCAGCTTTAAAGTAGGCGCGCTCACCTGGAGCTTTTGCCACGCTGCTTCTGTGATACCGGCGAAGAGCCGCCTGACAGTTGGCGATCGCAAAGCCACTCAAGGGCCGAGAACCAGGGGGCTGATTCGCTTCTGCAGCTGACTTTGCTCGCATGAGAACCTGCCAGCTGATGCCCAAGAAGACTCAGCACGCCACTTCTTGCGGCCCCACGGCGGTGCTCGAAGAATCTGAACATCTTATGCGTGGCTTCAGAGCCGTCAAGGACTGGAGTCCGAGCCCCACCTGGAACAGTTCGTCGTCATGTCTCGCGTCGACGAGTCTGGCATCGCACTCGGACACAAACCGCCTCAAAGGCCTCAGAACGCCAAGCCAGCCTACAAAAAGATTCGGACCTGTTCCCAATGCAACGGTGCGGTGGCGGCACTTCCGCTGTTCCTGTCCCTACTCTCCGCTGATCAGGTCGCCGGCTGGATGCCATCAGGTGAAACCTCGTGGTGCCCCGAGCTGTGGAGCACTCTCGGAATTCGGATGAATTCGGCACACACAGGGGTCACCCACGGTCATGGAACCTACAATAGCACTTGAAATGCACGCAGTCACCAGAGTTATGGAATCCTCTGGGCACCGGGCAGACGCAGTCTTCACAAAATGTGCTGAACAGGCATCTCCATGCACTGGGACTCCAACTTCTCTGCCCGTGGCACTCAGGCGTCGCTCAAAGCGATCCAAGCACCCCTTCGCTTCGGCAACGTCCTTGCAGCACGAGGTGTTCAAAAACGATGCAAATCGATGCTTTTCTCCAACTTACAGAAGATTCCTGCGTGCCTAGACTACACAACTCTGGTAGTCGGGTCCACGCCGCAGCTCGTACCCAAAGCGTTTCCGCGACACCCGAAGCCGACGAAGCAGTATCCCTGAAAAGGTTTGTCCTTTGCGAGCGTGGCGACCGCTCTGGAGCTTCGGCCAGTGCCTCTCAAAACTGACAAAACTGTCAGTGTGGCAGAATTTGTTATTCCTTCGGCTTAATTCACGAATGCAGAATCAGCTGGGGACCTTCGCCAGGCATCTGACTGGGCATAGACCTGGGCTTCTCAATGCCCAGCACACCCGCGCATTATCAAGCTCTGTCTCTATGGGGCTCGCCATCTAGAGTCTCTCTGCTCTCCCTCAACTTGCCGATTACCCGACGGGCAAGTCGCAACGCCTTATGCACTTCCGCACACTGTCATGCTGCCACTGCAGGCTCTTGTTCTCTAGCTTTCGCATGGGCTGCCCACGCTGTGGAGCCGTGCCCACTGAGAAACTCGTTCGTGTGAATTTGCAGCTGCTGCAGGGCCTGCACAGCTCGATGTCTACGCCGCAAAATGCGGTTGTCTCTATAATCGCTGTCCCTAATCATTCTGATCTCCAAGAAGACAGCAGAAGTGTGGTCGGGCTTAGAAAAAGTACATTCTGTTTTTGCCGGCCATCACCTCCAAGGCGAGCTTCAACTCCAGCCCTGCCTGCCCAGGAGACGAAGTTTGGCTGCTATATGCTGCTATCAACTTACAAGAAAACGAGACTTGCCTGCAACCATATGTTGGACGTTGTTAGCCGAGTGCTTGCCAGCTCGGCTTGCAATGCTTGCAGCACCTGCAGCGAGTCGCGCTGGCTAATTAGCTGGACGTGTCGTGTTTGCGGAAAATCGGTGAAGGGGGCTAGCAACTTGCGTCTCAGCCTGGGGATTCAACGCTCCGTCGATGCTGCTGCAGCACGTGTCGGTCAGCCGCTTGATTGGAGCCTGTAGCATGGACACACTACTCAGCCAACCTCAGGCGTAAGACAAACAGCGCATGCGACACAGTCAGGTTGACTCGGCCTGCGCAGCAACAATGGCAAGCGACATCTGTTCGCGGAGTGACTTCCTGATTTGGCTTGTTTGATGAGTCTTGGAGCTACCGGCCACTGGTTACCAGTCTGATGGTGCTCTTAAGCACACGGGGAGTCACGGGCATGGCGAAAAGTAGATGCCGCAACCAAGAACGCTAAGATTTCTTGCCAGTATACTTGGGCTCGTGCAATTTTCCTTCTGGCAGCATCTGCTCCTGCTGTGCGAAACGGCTCTTCTCCTCAAAGCGCTCGAGGTTGAGGTTCTGAACAGCCTCACAAACAACATGTAGCAGCCGCGAGTCGATTTCCAGGCCCTTGCACGCCGCCTGCGAGAGGTCAGCTTCCATAACTGCGGCGGCAGCATCCCTCTCCCGCTGCCTCACCACAGAGTGACAAGCAACGCATGCATTGTGGAATACTCATCAACTCTGATCTACGAGACGTGAGCATGAACAAGGAACGACCACGTCTAGTTCGCTGACTGCTATCTTCGAGGCTCGTCGGAGGTCGCAATTCACGTTTAGACTCTCTTAGACGACTGCCTTAGAAGTTCTTCCAACGCCTCGGCATCATGCGTCGTGTAGGTTTCGTTTTGCTTTGTGATTGGGTGTCCCCGCTGCTACAGGCATGTGGCATCCATCCCCCGAAGATCTCGAACGGTGCTGGCAGGGGGTAGGCTTTTCAATGCCTCAGCAGCAAGCGGACCCAAAACTGCTGAAGACACTCGGCGGACACCCCAGTTGCAATCCCAATACCAAGAAAACGAAGGTCCTCGCAAGGCTCTTTCAGAGGCAGGTAGCCGGGACACGGCTTGCTGATGCCTCTTGCTCAAACGGTCTGTGAAACAGTGCCAGGAGCCGGGAATCAAGTCTGAGCTCCGGGTTGAAGGGGACAAAGGCGGGCAGGGTAAGCAAGTCCAGTAGACACTGCGCCAGCTTGCGACCCAATCACTTGCAGAGAGATGGAGGGCGACAAATCAACGACACTTTTCCATTTCGCCGTCAGCAGCCCTCAGGATCCCTAGCACAACCAGGAGATAACGAGCGATGCTGACATTCCCTGTTTCAGGGTCTCAACACGTCTCAACCCCGTCCCAAACCTGAAAGCTCGAGGGGCCGCAATTCCAAGATCAGGTGAAGGGCATCCCTAGAGACGCAGGGACTCGTGGAAGACTTGAGGATTCAAGGCCTTCGGAGCAGCAGCTTGGCTTCCTGCTCGCCAGCTTTGAGCTGCTGCAACCTCCATCATTTGTTCGAGTGCTGCGCAAACTCAGTCGAAGCCAGCGTTGCCTCGGAGTCGTAAGCTTCGTCCACCTATTGCCATACACCTCCAGGATTGCCATACAGGGTCATTCAAGCTTCAACTTGTGCATACATGCAGGATGAACTTCTTGGAGTCCACAGTATTGTCGGTCCGTCCGTCAGTCCGCGAGTGCGGGCCGTCTGTCTGTCTGTGTCTGTCTTTGTCTG